CGCTCATGTGCCTAATCCACTAAGATGCCTGAACTGCCTAGTGTTCAACCACTGAAGTTCAAAGTGCACAAAGCAGCCAGTATGTATACAGTGTGGAAAGCTCCGGCATGGAGAAAATTCTAATTCCAATTGTGTTAACTGCAATGGTATGCATCACCGCTTAGATCGCAATTGTCCGATATTACAAATGCAAAAAGAAATAAAATCGATCCAAATTAATCTTTAATGGATATATATATATATTATATATATATATATATATATATATATATATTATATATTATATATATATATATATAAATAACGATACCCAAGTATTCTGAATAAATCTTTTGCTGAAATCACTAGAGAGAAAATATATAATGTCGAAAAAAAGGAAATGGGTGCCGAAGTCGATATTTCATTTATTTTTTGAGAAAATATAAATAGTTATATAAACCATCACGACGATAATACTAAAAATAATCTAAGTATTAATAATACTCCAACTAGTTATCCATCTATTGTTGAAGTAAATAAACAACAGGCGACCTCTTCCCTTGTTCCAGCTACTTGGCTCCGCAGCGTCAAACATATCTCTGTTTGCCATCACGCATTTTACAACTCCCTCTTCTGACTACGCGATTGCCTCTTTGGCTATCGACGAGGAGGTTTTTTTCAAAGTAAAATCAAATAAAAAGGCAACCAAGAAAAAACAACGACTTTAAATCAGTATTTTGTGTTGACATACAGTCCACTGTCCATTCTTATCTACGCTTATACCATTTATATCTATATTTCGATGTATATGTATGTATGGTTTGTGCATGTACATATGTGTGTGTGTGGGTGCCCCTATACATGCGTGTGTATGTGCATGTATACATGTATGTATTATCTTTTATATATCTGATGTATATTGTTATACTTTTTTATGAATTTTATTGTGTATTTACATGTTCTTCTATTATTTTCATTTCTATTACTATCACTTAATAACCTATTTACTAATTTATTTATTTTCTCTTTATATTACCATTATATTTATCCATTTCTCTGTTGTTTACCTTCTATTGTTGCTCTATTCCTATTCCTAATCCCATTTCAAGCCGAAAATGGATTATATCTACAATTAAATACCTAATAAATTGCGCGTGTTACTATACATCTGTATATATTTTAATTCTAATTTCCTTATATTATTTGTATTCCTCCTATTAACACTTAATTACCCATTTAATCATTTACTCGCTTACTCCTTCTACTATAATTTCAATTATTATTTATCTTTTACCTATTATTATTAATTGTTTCTTCTTCTTACTCTTATTATTTCTGTAAATAAATATTTACTACCTTACACCTATTACTCTTATGTGTGTGCATGTGGGTGTTACATATGTACAAAACCTAAATATGTCGGTTTTGCAATGGAACTGCAATTGTTTACAAAGTCATTGCAATGGTTTAAAATATTTAATACAAGATACATATACATTTTGCCTTGCCTTTCAGGAAACACACCTCACAATAAAAGACAATTTTACTTTAAAAAATTCAATATGTACAGAAAAGATAGCCCAAACTCAAACCACGGTCATCACGGTGTTTTAATAGCTATTCACAAATCCGTATATTCTGAATAAATTACAATAAACTCAAATCTTTAAACTGTTGCAGTTAAAGTCTACCGATGATTCACTTATTCAATTTGCAATATATACTTGCCACATGCAGGAGAACTTGTTAGAGTCAGCTTTGATATTTACGAGGAAGATGACCGCGAATACCACTTCGCAACCTAAGCACAAATGGTTTGATCAGGAATGCAGGAGAGGTAAACGAAATCTCAAGAAGTTGCAAAGAATAATGCAAAGAACAGTTTATTGACAGGATTTATCAGAGACTACCTTCAAGCCCGAAATGAATATAGAAAACTAATAAAAAGGAAAAAAATGGAGTTTAGAGCATCAGTAATTACAAATTTGAGAACTGTAAAATTCAGTGGAGAGTTTTGGAAGACGGTGAATATGTTGAGACCATTTAATAATCAAAATAACGAAATAAGTCTGAACGATTGGTTTCAATATTACACGAATCTATACGCCCAAAAATACTAATTCTTATGTATATATATATATATATATATATATATATATATATATATATATATATACCGTTTACTAATCTGTTATTATATTAGTCATACTTGATGCTGTGGACATTGTTAATGTTATGTTTGAATGCAGTACTAGACTCAAGATCTAACATTGTTAATTATACCATTATATTTATTTGTACAGGAATTTCCTTAGACAAATAAAATAAACTATCTAATCTAATCTATCTATATACTTGCCACAGGATCGTACAATAGACTCACAACATCTCTTAGTTATTTACAATCAATTATCCCGTCCTGTTCTTTTTGTTGGTGACCAAAACGGCCGTAATTTCTTACGGATGTCCGAACACATTAACACCCGGCGTAAAATAATAATAGAAAATTTCATAGACATTTCAAACCTCATCCTACTGAAAACGGCAGAACCTGCCTTTCTCAGTTCCTGCTACGCTTCTTTCGATCTCTCTTTGTGCAGTACCTCTATATATAGTATCATACACTGGAAAGTTTTACCTGATTTTTACGGTAGTGACCATTGTCCACTACTTATAAAATTCACAAATTAAACCTCGCTCGTATAACACCGAGATGGGTGCTAAACCGAGCTAATTGGGCTCTTTTTTCTTCCTTGGCCTCACCACCTATTAATTCAATATTCACTATTGAATATTAACAACTGCTACAAAAGAAAAAAACTAATTATTACTAATACCGTATTAGACAGACTGTGATAAGAGAGTACCTTAGTTGTATATTTCCACCGCTGCTACCACTCCTCCACTCTGTTATTCCCATAGTCTCAGTCGTACCCAACAACTTGTTATGGCACTTTGTCGGCCATGTAAGGTACCTGTTACCAGAAAAGATAAAACCACAATAGCGTGCCACAATTGCAAAAATATATACCATGGCAAATGCGCCAATATCTTAGAGGCTGACTAGATAAAAAAAAACAGTGGTGTTGTCGCACCTGTGAGCCACTGATAAAGTCAGTAACAAAGCTACACACAGGTAGTAACATGGAGGAAAATTCTGCGGTTGTTTTAGCCGAGTTACTTAAAATAACCAACGAAAAATAAAGATTTAACTAACCAAGACTAAAACAAACAAGTCTATCCTTTGACAATTCACAACGGCTTAAGTCGATGGAGGAACGCTCCAAAAGGCAGGAGGAAATGGTCGAAAAATTATTATTAGAAAATACCAGCCTTAAGGTGGAAATAAAAAAAATTGGAAGGTAGGTTAAACTATGCAGAGCAGGCCCATCTATCAAGCGGATCCCCATGAAGACGGAGGACGCCTGAGGGTATAATTTTATCCGTCGGAGCGGCTCTGGGTGTGAAACTATATTCCGAAGACCTGGATGTGGTGGAAAGCAGACGACCAAGAGAGGAAGACACCCGGCCACCGTCGATCGTCGTGCGTTTCGTCCGCCAGATGATCTGGGACGAGGTGTTACGTCTAAGAACAATAAAAAGAGACTTCTCAACTAGATACCTCGGATATGACCACGGTGAGAGATATATATAGCTGAGCAAATGACTTCACACAACCGCTATCTTTATTAGCTGGTACTGTGAAAAAAAAAGAATATATAATATTATATATATTTATATATATATATATATATATATATATATATATATATATATATATATATATATATATGGTTTTCTAGAGGGCATACACAATGCAGAAAAGAAGGCGCCAGTCGTTATAATAAACCAGGATAGCGACCTAAACGCATTCTCATGACTCAGACTCATTTTCCCTCATTTCGATTATCGCTGCCTTGTATTCGGAGGTCTGTCTGGTGGGCTCGAGACCAGATTTAAAAGCCTAATGAATTGTTTCATTAGATTCATCTTTGGAGCCCCGCGGCGCTCCCACGTCTCCAGCTAGTATGCCGAGCTGAAGTGGCTCTATCCAGCTTCCAGACGGAAATATTTCCTATTTGTTTTGCTTTTCCGAACCTTTGCAATGTTAACTTGTACCTTTCTTTGTTTTAATATAAAGACTCAATTGCAATGTAATTTAATTAACAACCAGAAGATGATTAACTTGTATACTAGACAATTGTTCATTATAATTATTCTTAAGGGGTTGAATGTCCCAGAATAAAATTTACTTTTCATTCATTCACTTAAAATGTCATGTATGTGTGTTTTGAAAGTCATTTTGATTAGTTTAGTTTCTTTTTGTTTATATAAAGTTACTTCTAGTATTATTATTTTCTGTTTATTTTATTTTTATTTATTGTAAATAGATGGGTATTAGAGTGAATGGTCTAATCTGTCACTATTACTGATGTCCTTGAGTATGACAGAGTAAAGCAATACTCAATAAAGAAAATATATAAAAAAAACAAAAAAAAACAATATGTATACACACAAGGTTTTTCTCGTTTTAACATAAATTAGTTGATATTTCACAAGGAATAAGAACTTTTGACAGGGCTTGTAAAGACAGTAAGATTGAAATTGTTAATAATTGCTTGATTACATGTTAGATTTGATCATCAGTATTTTATTGATAATATTGAAACAACACTACTCGATTATGTAAATTATAATAAAAAAATCTTTAATTTATCTGTACTCATTTTATTGATGATAAATAACTTCGATAAAACTATTTTCTGTTAAATTAAATGTTTTATAATAAATAATTAAGAAAACTTAAACATTAACGCTTAAAAGTAAAATGGATATACAGGAATCGTTTATACACAGCAAATTGTCCTCCCTTAGGGCGTGTAAAAATATTTTAAGTCTAATTATAATTTGTGAAAGATCTAGTTGCAAATATAATTTTCCTTACTTCAAAGATAACTTGAATTTTGGAAATTTTGGGTTTATATTATTTCTTTTTGTCAATTCATAGCCTAAACTAGAGTTTATAGTCCCATTTTATCTAATTCTGGCAGTTGCTTGTTTAACATTTCTTCAACATCGACTTCACTAAGCATATGCTGAACAGCAAACTTAACGGGTAATTCTATAGCGTCGACAATAATATGCCTGATGAGATCGGGAAGCGTATTGACAGCAGCTTCAACCAGGATGTCAAACGGGCCTGTACCTTTCACTTGTACTTTTACCTTACCGACATTTATGTCAATATCTTTTAATGTCGGATGTTCGGTTATGTTCAATGATTGGTAGATGATGCCTCTTCCTTGTACATAGTCCACTGTGAAATTTGTATGTCCTACTCTTTTAAAAGACTTTCCAATGGTGACGCTCCACATGCACTTGCCCTTCAATTTTGATGTTGCCAAGTGTAGACCTATCTGAATCGTTCCAGCATCCATCGACAACGATACTTCGCCGACCCTTCGGAAGTCAGATAGTCCAGTCAGAACAAGGTTAGAAATATTTACCTGAAAAATACTATTATTGGTAGGCATGTATTTGACCCCGTAGTTTTCAAGCTCGTATGGATCGTAACCATTTTCTTTAACGTATTTTCTGGCTTCTTGTATAGCAAGTTCTAATGGTGGTGTGGTTTTAGTTTCAGTAAACCTCGTTCCTATAGTTTTAATTTTTTTATTTACGTCTTGTCGTACTCTTTCATTGATTTCTTTTAGAATTACAGGTTTCACAGCATCGAATAAAGCAGGACCCGCTGAAGCTACAACTCCCTGTAATAATGTACCCATAACACCCATGTTTCCAAATTTAACTCTAGAATCCATGAAAGTCATATCCATTTCCGAATCCGAAGCTTGGATGTTTCCTAAGGCGTCTCTTTGGAGTGCAGCAGCTCCACTTGCTTCGACGTACCGCAGTGTTACATTGAAAGGTCCCGCTACCTTCTTGAACCAGGCGTTTGCTGAATAGTTGCCAAGTATAATCAATTGATTCATGTAAACAGCAACATAGACCTGCATCATTCAATCATATATTAGTAATAATTGGTTTTAAACTAATTAATGCATAAAATAACTGTACATGATTCTAAAAATGCTAATCTTATAAAGTAAAATTTATTTATAAAATTCTCTGGGATAGACAATATCCGATCCCTTCTACTAAAGATGAATATCTGCTGTTATAACTGTAACAGCTCAACTATAACTCAACTGAGTTTCATTCTATTTAAGAAAGGGATGATAGAGGAACATTATACCCCTTAGCCTTCGAAAATAAAGAACAAAGTTAATCATTATATTGTGTTTCAAATATGTAATCGGAGCATAAGTAATTATGAGATACAGTTAAAAAATTGTTTTCTGATTTATAATGACAACTTATAAATTTATAATTTATAATGACGATGAATAGTTACAGAGTGTATAGACTTAGTTCAGTAAATGAATCCTCGAAAAGGAGATATAGAAGGAAATGGCGAGGATGCAATTTTTGAGTTTTGGACATTGTTCGCACTAGTAAGGAAATAAACATTATTAGATAATTATTATATTACTCTAATTATTATTAGTATATAAATATATGTAGATACAATAACGTATATTATAACAATTATCCTTTTCTTCAAATTCTCGGAATTGGCATATAAAGTTATAATTGATCTAATTTTTGAACCGTTGAAGATAAACTAATAATATAATGTATATTCTTGAAGAAAATCTCATTATTTAAAACTTGCTTCAGCATGACTGAATCGAGGACCGAAGCAATCAAGAGTTAGATAGTAAATACTGTAAAAAACATGAGGTAAAAATATTTTTTTCTACTTTAGCGGTAGTTGAACAATGTTCCAAAGTCAAAAGTTGTGTCCCTGCCATTTCCTTCTATAATAATTTATTGACGGGACTAACTGTTTTAAAAACAGTTTTCTACTTCTATACCAAGAAGCAATGGCGGATCCAGGAATTTTCTCAGGGTGAGAGGGGGCGCACCTCTGTACCACGTGCTTCTCCCACCCTTACCCGTCCCCCCACCACTACCCATTCCCCCACTTCTTAGCTGAGTTTAGCCGATCAAACGTCCTCTTTAAATGGTTTTAACCAAAGCAAACTCTGTTTTTATTTAGAATAAATTTTGACTAGTTTTCAGTAAAGCTATCATTAATTACTTAAATTAAATTTTTTTTTATCACTTCCTATTCAACAAAAAACGTGCCACATAAAAAATCACAAAACTTGAATTTCCTACTTTCCTGCTAAAACTCGAACCATTGTTTATATAAACTTTTTCGCATTTATTGAGTTTTACTATCACTCCTTTAAATATTTCCCTCTACTTACGAGATACTCTTTATGTGGGCTTAGACGTGTAAAAAACTATATTGCTAACACGGGTCACCAAGATAAAACTTTTTAGAGCCGAAAATTCCAGATTTATCTGATCATTTTTTTCATGTATTACTACTAAACAGTGCATTAAATTAAAAAAAACGTATTCTTTAAGAAATTAAAAAAAACGTAAAATTGTGCGTTGAACGAGTACTTAAACTTAATAATTTGATTAAGTGATATGGTCGCTCACCACGGCCAATGATTTTTTACCGATATTGTCAAAATCTGAGAAAGATTACTGTAAATGGCGCTGCAGCTTGGAAATGAGTTCTCTAAGAAAAAACACGGAATAATTTCCGATTCCGATCATAATCAGATTCCGATCAAATTGGCTACCAAATAATAATTACATTCCGTCATGATAACGTTCCCAACAGCAGCTATTTTAATAAAAGAACAACACATTCTAATGAGAAATATACAAATTATTATCGTGACCAGTTTTATGATTCGCATGAACTCTTAAGGAGATTATAGTTGCTGAATGTTGCAATGCGTTCAGATCTATTGAAACAGACTAAAAACTTGGTCTGTAAGAAATCCTGTATTTTTTGTGCTCGAATGAAAGGTGATTCGAAAGAATAAATGAAGGTTTTTTTTTTTTTTTTTTTAAATAAATTTTCCTTCATCATGTATTTCAGCTGCGAGAATCCGTTCGGAGTTAATAGGAACAAACTGCGAAAGGAGCAAAAGCCCTCGCATCTCACGGAGGCACAAAAACATCACTCTTTTCTTTAAATATATGTTTTTCTGGATCTTTTTTTTTTTGGAATAATTTTCCTAACATTCAGAGGGGGAGGCCCCCCCCCTCCCTGGTAGAAATCACTAGTGCTGGTCACGATAATAATTTTTTTTTCATTAGGAAATTCGTGTATGAAGGTGAATTTCCCCTATATTTCTCTTTTCTTTAAATAGGTTTTTTTTTTTCGAAATTTTTCCCCATTATCCAAGAGAGGGCATGCCCTATAGCATAATTTGCTAGTGATGGTCACGATAATAATTATTTTTTTTACATTATATTAGGAAATTCATTGTCTATGAGGATGAATTTTCCCTCTTTTTCTTTAAATAGCTGTTTTTTGGAACTTTTATAAAAAAATTTCCAGTCTCCAGGGAAGGGGAGGGAGGGGGGCGGGCCCCCCACGGCTGGATCCGCTAGTGCCAAGAAGTATGCATTTCAAACCATGCTTTTTATCTCCTTTTTTCAAAATATTTTTTTGTTTATTATTTTTCTCAAATTAAAAATACAATTCTAAGAGGGGTGCCCAGAATGGAGTTGCACAGTACAAGTTGCATCATCAAAATTTCTGAGAGGGGGAATGCATTTATGGGCTTTCAGAAGGAACGATGATTCTACTTTCGAATAAGTTCTTTATAAGATAATATTAATAAAATTTCTTGGAAGGAAGGTGGCATGAATCAGAATTGTAATAACTATATTTTCCAACTGAGTTACCCAAGAAACTAGGAATTGAAATCGTGTTTACCCATCATGATAATAAGGTCAGAATTCGGAGAGTGAAAAGAGGGCATTTGTCTTGAGTGGCAGAACGTAGAGGGTGGTAAACTTCGAGAAAAATTGTATATATTAAAAAGTAAAAGAAGTAAAAAAAAATTTCTGTTTTTTTTTTTTTTTTTTGTTTTAACCTCCATTCTCTCGCCCATGAATCCTAGTTATGGTCCACCATACGCCAAAAAACGTCCCGATATCCTGGATATATTTATCACCTCCCACATTTCCCTCTCCCAAATCATAATAAAATCCCTTGACCTTTCTTCAGACCAAAGTTCAGTACTGCTTTCACTACATTCAAATTATGCTCCTAAATCGATTACAGGACGAGCAAGCTGGGTCGAATTTCGTGATGATTTGGAAAACAAACTAGACTTAAAAATTCCGCTAAAGACAACAGAAGACATTAATGGTGCCACAGAAAAACTTGCAACATCAATAACGGACAGTATAATTAATAACACCTTTAGCAATAAGATTAACAATTTACAAAAGACTAACTTGCCACAGTATATTCGTATCTTATAAAAGGAAAAACGCAGAGCAAGATCGAAGTAGCATAGAAATAGATATCCAACAGATAAAACTCATTACACTAAACTGACTAACATACTAAAATCAGAAATTAGAAAATATCAAACTCAAAATTTACTACATTTTACTGAAAAATTTACACTTACCTACAAATCACTATGGACGACCACTAAAAGGCTCCTGAAATTTAAAGACTGTAATCATCGACTTTTTACCGAAACTCAAACTTGGTCCAAACCCAATAAATAAAAATCCCAAATTTTTGCTCACCACCTCTTCAAAACCTAATATCCTATCCTAATATCTTTAATCCAATCATCTTAAATATATTGATGCAGGACTGGAAATTCCACTCCAAATGACTCCTCCATCTAAAGCATTCCATCCTTCAGAAATATCCAATATTATTCACAGATTAACCTCCCGCAAAGCTCCTGGCCTCGACCTAATCACATCCCAAAATGATACATAAACCCAAAAAACCACCAGAATATCCACCCTCTTACCGTCCTCTCTCTTTTACCCATCATGGTCAAAACCCTGTAAAAGCTCATCTTAAAACGCCTGAATCTTATCCGAGATTCTAACCATATAATCCCTGAACACCAATTTGGATTCCGCAAATCCCATTCCACTATCCATCAATGCCATCGTGTGGTAGACGTCTCCTCTGCATTGAAGAGCGGGATGTATTGTACTGGAGTCTTTCTCGATGTTGAACAGGCTTTTGATCGGGTCTGGTACCCGGTATTGCTTTACAAACTCTGTAAATTCTTTCCCCTACATACTTTCTCATCAGCAGTTCCTACCTTACTGATAGATACTTCAAAGTAAATCACAATAATAGCTATTCAACCCTCATTTCTCAATCTGCCGGAGTTCCTCAAGATAGTATCCTTGATTCAATCCAGTACACAGTTTATACAGCTGATATCCCAACCCATCCTAACACTGTCATCACCACGTATAACGATGACACATGTATTCTATCAGTTAATAACGATCCATCAATTGCATCCCAAAATCTTCAATCAAACATCACAAACCTTGAAGAATGGTGTCAAAACTGGAGGATTAAAATAAATTTCAATAAATCCCATCAAATTACCTATACCCTTTGTCGTAAACTTCCTATTCTACAGTATCTTTTAATAACACCCCACTTATCCTTGTTGAACAAATCCGATACATCGGACTCCACCAACCAAAAAACATTCATTCAGTCAACAATTTGAGCTAATGTTATGAGAGGATTATATATTTTTTGAAATAGATTACCTAAAATACTGCTAACTTTTATTGAAAGGGGAGGGTAACAGAAAGGAGGGGGGAGCAAATATAAGCTTACCCGATGCCAAAAATCCAAATACTTAATGCGTTTACTTTTAATTTTAACCTTAACTTCTGTAATTATAATATTGCGAAATTTTTACGGTATACATTTGATTTTTTCAAGGAGAAAATAAACAAAGTTTAAATTAGTGATTTTTTTTTTGTATTTACTAATGATAATACGTACTTGCATTTTGTCTAGGTCGGTGTTGACATGCTCGATACTGTAGTTGGAGAGTCCGTATACTTTCTGGTTGAAAAAGTTCATGTCGAAGCCACCAAAGGACTTTTTAATTTTGGGCAGAGGCATTGGGTCAGGTACTGAAGCGTCTGGGACGGTCACCGTTCCATACTTCTTATAATGGTTTATTACCGCTCTGATTTGGTCACTCAGTTTTTCAATTTTCTTTGTTTTATTCATTTGAGCTTCATCAGACGACTCAGTCGTTGTGGGTGTTGTTGTTGTAGACGTAGAAAATTTAGATTCTTCTTCGCTATCGAATGATCCAAGGATGTCGATAAACTGAGTTTCAGTTGTCGTTTCCCCAATCACTGCTGAATTATCAGTAGTAGTCATTGCATTTTCAGATGTTGCTGAATTTTCAGTTGTCGTTTCCGTTACTAAGACTGTTGCGGAGGATTGAGTACTACCTTGTGATTCTGTTGTTTCCTCAGTTGTAACAGACGAGGTCGCAGAATCACTGGTACTACTGGCGGAAGTAGTCGCATCAGTCGTGTTGTACGTTTCTGTGACATCAGTATTTCCATTTACTGTTGTAACGTTATTCAAACTGACAGCTTTAGATGTAGTGATTGTGGACTCAATGTTTGTTGTTCCATTATCTGAAAATAAGTACTATATGAGTAAGTTAATATAATTGGGATGACTATTACAAAAAATAAATAATTATTTATTATTTAATTAATTTTTGTTACCAATTAATGTGCATTCAATAAGTACTGAACCAAATTAATAAAATTGTGTAAGTATAAACTTTGAAATAAAAATAACAAATAAAAAACTTCTGATAAGATCATTATCGAACTAAAAGATAAATTTCTCTACTAATTAAAAAATTAAACTCTAACGATGCATAAATAAATATACTAAGATACCTTTAGAAAAAATAATATATAAACCTAAAGCTTATTTGAGATCAGACCGAAACGTCGTGAAAGTTACATAAATGAATCAGTAGTGAAGTATCGGGTTCGCAAATAAGTCCTTTCGGTTTTTTAGGGTGAAATAAAACTCAATGTATTATAGACATAAAATTTATTTTAATCTACAACATATTGACCATTATTTAATATGACATTTTCCCATCATTCCACTAACTCCATTATGTCATGTTCATAGAATGTCTGGAGTTTATTGTTAAAAAACTGATCCAAGTGGTTTTTGATGTCCTCTTCCTTTTGCAATTTCTTTCCTTTTTTTTTTTTTTGTTCTTCCCTACTTCGCCTTTTAGCTATACGGGTTTTCCCGGGCCGGAGGGTGAGGGCGAAGAATTTAAAATCCCCTCCGGCACCGGGACGTGAACTCGTACTTTTTAAATCTTCTCAAATCTGTAATCGGTTTGCCAGGCAACTCGTGGTGCTGTGCACACGCTTTAGCCCATTCGGCCACCTGCAGAGACCATATATAAGTGATAGTCACTTGGATCTAGGTCTGGTTAATAGGGAGGGTGAAGTAAAAGGTCCCATCCAAGGCTCAATAATTTATTGTGAGTGACCAATGAGCTGTGGGGCCTAGACTTCAGAGTAGGGAAGGGGGCAAGGCGCCCCCCGCTTCCAACTGGAAAATTTTTGATTAAAGTAGCAATGTATATAAAAATTAATTTTTCTTAACAGCGGTAGATTGGTTGTTGTTATTATGACTTGTTCAAATAAACTAATAATTAAAGGCTGATTATTCCATCGTTCAATTAGCTACATGATTTTTAAAAAAATACTCTTAATTCAAATTTATTGCTAGTTAAAATGATATAAAATACCGATAAAAATGAGATATAAAATATCGATTTATTTTTTCGTATTCCTTTATTAATAAGATTTTTTTGTAGTTTCACGATTAGTTCATTATTAACACAAACAACTTTATTCGCGCGCTATAACCAAAATCCCGTATAGCTAAAAGGCGAGGTAGGGAAGAACAAAAATAAAAAAAAGGAAAGAAATTGCAAAAGGAAGACGACATCAAAAACCACTTAGATCAGTTTTTTAACAATAAACTCCAGACATTCTATGAACATGACATAATGGAGTTAGTGGAAAGATGGAAAAATGTCATATTAAATAATGGTCAGTATGTTGTAGATTGAAATAAATTTTATGTCTATAATACATTGAGTTTTATTTCACCCTAAAAAACCGAAAGGACTTATTTGCGAACCCGATACTTCACTACTGATTCATTTATGTAACTTTCACGACGTTTCGGTCTGATCTCAAATAAGCTTTAGGTTTATTTTTTTTTCCTAAAGGTATCTTAGTATATTTATTTATGCATCGTTAGAGTTTAATTTTTTAATTAGTAGAGAAATTTATCTTTTAGTTCGATAATGATCTAAACATTACAGTAGCATTATAGTCCTCTCCAGCAATAAAACGCGATCCGATGGATTGTAATAGGGATTCAAGTAGGCTATAAGAGATGGAATTGCCAGGACAGTATATAGCTGAAAGTGTTAGATGGAAAGGACGAGTTGAGAGGATTACAGAAGTTGACTGAATGGCATCTATCGGAATGGAAGGAATAAGGGAATGGGGTAAACACTGATGTATAAGGATGCAAGAACCGACGTGGGCAGTGTTGTCTGAGTGATCAGGTCTTTAGGTGATGTAGTCACGTATGTAGAAATGTGTCCGTTGGGTGAAGTGAGTTTCTGTTAGGAGGGCAATGTCAATATAATTGTCATGGAGAAATATGTCTAGTTCATCACGGTGGTTTTGCAGTACATTAGCGTTCCATAAGAGAATAGCTCGAGGCTTTGTGTTCATCGAGGGAAGTTAAGCGGGATTTCGAAAAGGAGTCTGGTGAGAAGGATTATGAGCGGTTTGATAGTCTGTTGAAGATCTATCAGGAATGTCGATAGGATAGTGTTGATGTCGAATGGTGTTTAATTGGGAAGTGGATTTGGGTCAGGAGGTTGTGATGGGTAATTTATGAGACTAGGGTTGTTGGGTGGGGAATAGTCCCGACGTGGGGTACGAGGAGGTGGTTCTAAATTCTGTTGGACTTGTGGTGGGGGTTTATCCTGGGATTAGGGACGAATGGAGCTGAATATGGATTATCTGACGGGAGTTTGACTCCTAAGGGTAGATGGTTAGGACGGATTTGCTGACGACGAGGTTGAGACTGAGGATAAGAGATTTTGGGCTTGGATTGGTAGGCCTGAGGCGCCTGACGTTGAGGCTGCTTCTTACTGATGGAAGACTGGGTGTGAGGATTTCTGAGATTCTGGCGAGGCGAGTCCTTAGCTGTAGAGATGGGTGGTTGTTGCTGGATGACGAGGGGAGGTGGAGTCGGCAATGCTGGGAAAATTTCCTGATTTTCAATTTCAGGTGACTCAGTGTAAGTTTTCTGAGCAGGTCCAAGGCTTTTCACCGCTAAGTTTCGTGATCTTTGTTTTTGAAGATTTTTATATACTTCACAGCCTATTTAGCTCGCAGGATGGGCTTCGCCACAAAGAACACACGTCGCAGGCTCATCTCTTGGCTTCCGGGAAGTGTCCGAAGCTTGTAGGCCGGCAAATTTAGCCTCTTGATGGCAATAGGCCTTTGTATGCCCCATGTTTTGACACTTGGTGCACTGTACTATTTTTTTTTATTAAACACTTTATTGAGAAATATTACAATTTGTCACAGTTAAGGACACTTATAATAGAGTTCAGAGAGTACATTCATACCGTATATACAAAAATATAAATAAATAAAGTAATAACAAAAGAATAAGAAAAAAGAACAAAAGAAAAAGAAAAAAAAAATATATTATATATATATACATAAGTAAGTAAAAATAGAAATAAAAGTAAAACAAACATCCTAGATAAAACATACCTATATACATTATTTACAATTAGCCAGGTGATCTCCGAACCAATCCTGTCCTCTCCACATGTGGAGGGAAAAGGGAGGCTTAGGAGATCCCTACGCTTCTCCCTCAGCCACTTCACTGGTATTTAAGACCAGCGGAGGATGAGTAAGAGCGCTACAGCCACAGACACTTATGACTTGAGTGGAGAATCTGGCCATTGCTAGAACTCCAAAATATCCATATTTACAAAAGGTCTCGTGGCCACTGCCGCTTTAATCTACGAATGGGATTGTAGGGATGGGTGGTGCTTGATAGGGATTGTACAACGGGATTTGGGTGATGAGAAAGGTTCTGGTGAAATTTGGAAAATTTGGCTGGGATAAGATCAAGAATAAATGGGTTATTAAAGTCATTATGCAGGGTTTTATTGGTTACATAGAAGGGAGCATCGACTATTGTACGGAGGACTTTAGACTGAAAGGATTGAATGCGTTTGATGTTAGAAAATTTAGCTGTTCCCCATAGTTTAGTCCGTAAGTCCAGATGGGTTTCAGTATTGTCTTGTAGATCAGTAATTTGTTTTCACCAGAAAGTTTAGATTTTCTATTCAGTAGTCTATATAGCTGGCCATATCGGTTCTCAAAGTCAAAAACCGGTCATCCCGATTTTCTGTTACCCTAGGCCGTCCAGAACCGGGCCTTCTATTGTAAGAACCAGTTTCCCGAAAACGCCTGACTGCGTCTCGTAAAGTTTCATATGGAACTCCGATGGCATTAGCTGCATATGTAATGGAACGTCCATCATCAATAAGTGCCACACCACGCGCAACATCCTCAGCACTAAGAGGCATTTTTAAAATTAATATTAAAAAAATTAAAAGCCGGAGACTAAGAAATGTGCTGCAAGAAACGGCACTGAACTGATGATAATGAATAAACATTTTGATTCCATAGAAAGTAAACATTGGAATCTAGAATCATTTCATTGAATTAAGGATTAAGGGTTATTGTCCTCTATATTAACATTCCTAATTGAAAACAAACAAAAAGATTACCTATTTATTCATTAAAACCAATAGAACAATCCAAAGCAGAAATATTTTTAGATGAAAACATGAAAAAATCAAGTGGGTGGAATTTTTTGCCTGTCAGTGTATATATGTATAAATATATATAACAAACATATAAAACCACTATGAAAAAACAATTTTTTAGCTTTATTTCCTCATTATTATAGTTAATTATTGATACACAAACCTAAATTAAGTGAAATATATAATACTTATTGATATAATATACTTATATTACATATTAAATACATCTAATAAATGTTATCATTTTTAATATCCTTTCCTTGGTAGAGCCTTGAAACTAGTTTCTACTTTTTAGGGTTGGATTGTTCCAATTATATTTACAATCCAATCAATTATTTGAAAACACACGTGTTTCGATAAAGTATTTAGAACCAAGAATTACATTATTCTAAATACTGTAATCATTAATTAATAAAAGGTTAAATCATTAATAATAAATTAGATTATCTGTATTTTTTTTACATAACCAAAGGGTTTTTAATACCAAAGGAGTTTATTAATAATTAATCGCGCTAATAATTTTCATTCCTAAGAGTTTAGTAAATATTTTCCAATTAAAATAACAAAAAAAAAGATATTATTCTCTGGGTATTCTTTATAAATAAGTTAAACTTCATTTTTTTATTGAACCCAGTGCAGCAATCTTGGAAACAAAAACTATATTTTAAAACTATTTTGGTGATAAATCCTTGAAAATTGTCTAAAAACTTT